CCCCCCCAAAAAAAAAGATAATTGTGACGTTACAGAAATAAAAAATAAACGTTTCACGGGTTTTCACCGCGACTCTTTAGCGAGCCCAATGGTTCCCATAATATACGCCGCGTCGCTGTGGGTGCCACACTGCCCTCGGGCAGAGCCACGACCCACTAGGATACTTCTAGAGTCATGTAAATGGAGCAAAGAGGGCGGTCACGCCGGGCGCCAACATCACGTGCACCCACCGGGCGCCAACATCATGTGCACCAAAATCGTCTTTAGAAAAGATGTTAATAGTGAATTACAAAATACAATCCCATATAGGCCTACTTCCGAAAGACAAGGGGCGTTACAATTATTTTGTTTTCTATACATTCAAAGGCGCCATTTTTTGGCTTCATCTCAAATGCCGCACTGCCTCGGCATGTCCCTGCCTAGTGTTGCTTCAGCTTCCTAACAGGGCAGGGCTGCCACTCACATTTAAAAAATTTCCCAAGATTTGGTGAACACATTTCCCAAGATTTCCCAAGATCATAAAAATATATTAGAGTTTTTGTAAAAAAAAAGGGGGTTTTCTATGTAATTAATGTAATAATAGATTGAATTAATTCCCCTGAAAAACATGGTACATTAATTGTTTGAAATTTATTGAAAAAGACATTTAAAAAAAATGTTTATCACATAAAAGAAACAAACAATTTGTTTAAAAAAAAAATAATTTATTATCCAAAATATCAATCAATACCCACTGGAGTTAGGCAACTAAATATTACCTCCGAATTCTCTGGTAAAAATATCATCTACAATACATGTGTAATAGAAGTCACTTGGAAACAAAGCTTACAAGGCTAATCAACACAGAATTCCTTTTACAAGGGCAAAGGGTTCTTCATCAAAAAATGATTTTTCTTATTGTAAGTCTGTTGATTAGAAGTGAGGTTTGCAAAGCAATGAAGCAAAATTTATTAATAATAATTGTAGTTAAAATGGATTGATAATATTATGAAAACAATAAGTATTTTTATTTTTTCTTGTAAATTTACATTATAACGATTTTTTCAACAAAATAAAATACTTTTAAATGTATTGTTCATTTATAATCCTACAATGTAGGCCTATACTTTTAATATCTTAGTTACCTGTGTTTCAATCCACAAATATTTTTTCTAATTGATGAAAATTAGGCTGGATTTTTTACAGATGAATTATATTTTGAATACATTGTATGAGTAATTGAAATAATCAAATTTTACTATGGCATGGATTCTTGATTGAACACTACTATCGTTCACTCTTCGGCTTGTACTGTTTTTCGTATGGTTGCTAATGTCTAATAAATAGCCTAATGATAACGTTTCCGAGCTTACCCCCCACCCCCCCCCCCCCCCCCCCCCCCCCCC